AGTGAGAACTGGGAAGTGTCATTCATTGGCGTCATGTGATCAGTGTACAGAATTCTATGAGGCAGCAAAAAATGTCCAGGAAAGGGGTCCAATCACAGCCTTTGTCCTTGTCTGCACTGGAGGTGGGCGGTCTTCTCTAAGGAGGTGGGCGGTCTTCTCTAAGGAGGTGGGCGGTCTTCTCTAAGGGGCAAGTGAGAGTAAGTTGTGGGTGTCACAGTGAGAGGAAGTTTTGGGTGTCACAGTGAAAGGAAGTTGTGGGTGTCACAGGGAGAGGAAGTGGTGGGTGTCACAGGGAGAGGAAGTTGCGGGTGTCACAGGGAGAGGAAGTTGCGGGTGTCACAGGGAGAGGAAGTTGTGGGTGTCACAGTGAGAGGAAGTTGTGGGTGTCACAGGGAGAGGAAGTTGCAGGTGTCAGAGGGAGAGGAAGTTGTGGGTGTCACAGTGAGAGGAAGTTGTGGGTGTCACAGGGAGAGGAAGTTGTGGGTGTCACAGGGAGAGGAAGTTGCGGGTGTCACAGGGAGAGGAAGTTGCGGGTGTCACAGGGAGAGGAAGTTGTGGGTGTCACAGGGAGAGGAAGTTGCGGGTGTCAGTGAGAGGAAGTTGTGGGTGTCACAGGGAGAGGAAGTAAAGGAAAATCTCCCCAATGGGGTCACAGACAGAAATAAAAACCTGACAGAAGTTTTAGCTCCTCCTCTTATATAATGTACGAGGACACGGCCCGGGGAGGTGATGGCCCAGGCGAGCTTACAGCAACGACATTGGCACTCCCAGGGCTGGTACTCCCAGGCTACAGGGGGGGCAGTTGGTGAGATCTCCCGGCGGCTGCGGCGAGCCCTCGGACCTCCTCGTACGTCTCCTGGAAGGACAAGGATGCCGTTGTGCCTAAATCACGACCCTCAACCAGCACCCTTCACTGCACAGCCAGTAGCCGACCCCGAACGCGGCGTGGAGGGGCTCGGTGAAGGTGGCGGTGAAGGTGTGGAGGAGGCGGATGGGGTCGGAGAGTTCATAGAAGGAGACCCGGCCGGCCTCGTAGTCCAGGCAGATCCTGAACGTGGTGGAGGAGAAGCGGTGGGGCGCGGTGGTAACGTTGCCGTCGT